CACGGAGTTCCTCTTTGTTGAGGTGAAAAACTTTTTTTTTTTTTTTTATTCATTTTCTGCTGTTATATATCAAAAGCTCATAATAGTAATTTTCTTACTAATATTTATCTAATACAAGAAAATCTAACATTTAAAAGCAAGATTACATTAAGAAGATTTTCTGCCATTTTGTGCGGCTCCATGTGGCTGTACTTGCTGCTACTTGCAGCCTTTCAGTTGCATTTCTTACAGCCTCATTTCATCCTCATTTCATCAACATTTGCAGCATAGCTTGCTGCACTATGCTACTACCGTGCTTTGGTGCAGCTCTCATTTGCTACCATTTTGTGCAGCCTTTCAATTTCATTTGCTGCTACTTTGGCAGCTTGAACACCACAACTCCAACATTCCTCCTTGGTGTTAAAGCTGTAAAATCAGAACATTTATGCCTAAGCACTTGGGATCAGCCCTTTGCTGTCCAGCTTGTGCTTGGTTTTCACTTTTTTTTTTTTCACAGCCGCGTAGTATCCTTCTCAACCAACCTCAGCTCCTCCTTCATTACAGCTTTACTTCTTTGGATTTTGCTATTTTGCTGCCTCAAACAAATTTTGGAGGTTTTGCAACTAAATTGCTTTTTCTGAGTAAATAAAACAATGAATTGGTACCTCAAAGTGCTGCTTCATCATCTTTTTTCATCTTCTACAGCTTCCTTGGGGTCATTAATCAGATTCCACTTTTAGTGAACAGCATTTGATGCATGCTCTGACTTTTCTTCCTTTCTCAGGCTGCATCCTTGACATACATTCTTTTTTCCCTTTGGACTGCTTGCTGTAGAGATCATGAACACCTTCTCTTCGTTGGCCCAACTTGCCTCTTCACACCATCTCCTCACTATGCTTGATCTTGAGCTATAGTGGGCCTACCATATGCCTTCATCACTTGCTAAGTGATTTGGCTAAAAAATGGAAGAGGGATTTCACAACGAACCTACTGGAATCCATTTAGAAAGGTGGGTATTTTTTTGGGTTTTTTTTTTCGGGTGTTCTCTCAAAATCACTATCAGAGGTCCCTCAAGATCATTGAAGCTCTGATACCATGTTGAGTTTTTCGGTTGGTAAAGACAGGTTTGGGAGACGACTTGGAGAGAAAGGAGACACACCGGAGTTCCCTCTTTGTTGAGGTGAAAAACTCATTTTTTTTATTCATTTTCTGCTATTATATAGCAGAAGCTCATAATAGTAATTTTCTTACTAATATTTATCTAATACAAGAAAATCTAACATTTAAAAGCAAGATTACATTAAGAAGATTTTCTGCCATCTTGTGCGGCTCCATGTGGCTGTACTTGCTGCTACTTTGCAGCCTTTCACTTGCATTTCATTACAGTCTCATTTCATCTTCATTTCATCAACATTTGCAGCATAGCTTCCTACACTTCGCTGCTACCATGCTTTGGTGCAGCTCTCCCTTCTTCATTTGCTGCCATTTTGTGCAGCCCTTCAATTTCATTTGCTGCTACTTTGGCAGCTTGAACACCGCAACTCCAACAAAGTTCTTCAACAAAATTATGCACAAATTACTAATTTTTTCAAAAAATAGAACTTACCAATACCGTCGCATGTTAAACCAGGCCAGCTGCAATGATGTGCAGATTTAACTGGATAGTCACTCCACCACCCACTTTTTAGAAGAGCTTCTGCCTCTGATCCCTGGGATTTTGGCTCCAGAGTTGCCCTTGTCCCAGGTCTGGTGCCAAAACAAATTGTACAGTAGAAAAAGAAGGTAGCCTATGTTAGTAACTCCATGGAGCTGCAAATATTATAAAAATGACATGTTAAGTCCGATTTGTCAACTAAATATAGAAGAGTGTTTTTTTATTTAATTAATTAATTTTTTTTTATGGTGAAGGTCGAGGTCTATACTGTTCTTCTTAGGCAATTCATTTTCCAGGCAACCACTTTCCTAGTTCGATGAGACTAGAGAGAGTGGTTACAATACGTACTTTTCCACAAACACTGGTGCATTTGATTCATTTTTTCTCGTGGGCATCAAAAAGATCTTAAGCTTTTGCAAAAATGCGTGGTCTTGACTCCATCTGTTACAAACTATTAATTGGTTCAATTTCAAATTATTGGTATCAATCAAGCTGGAGCAAATTGAGGTCGGATGAAATTTCTTTTGATTGCTGAAATTAAGCTTGATTGGGACTTCAGTCTTGGTTTTGATTTGAGGACTTTATATCCACGGATGGACGAAGATGCTCAATTGTCCTAAAAACCTTCTAGTATTTAGGGTAAAAGTTTCAAATCCCAACTTTGGTTCCAAATATTTTTAGCATTTTGTATCAAAAGTTTCGAGCCCCAACTTTGGTTTGGAAAGTTAAATGCTTTTCATAAATTCTTTTAGCTAACCTTTTGGTTCCAAACCCAATATATATTTGGTTTCAGAACATTCTTGCCCTCGAGGTCATAAGTTTTGAACCATGGTCTTAGGTTCTAAACCCCAAATAAAGACATCTGTTTTCCTTTCTTTTCTCAATGTGTGTTTTTGCCATTTCAATTTCAAACATTTCAAATTATTTCAACACTCTATACTACTCCCTCTATCCCAAAACAAATGTATCCAATAATGCTGCCATAATGGAACCTGTTATGGTAGAGGTGGTCATATTTAAGCTTATTTTGTATATATGTTGAAATTTAGCAGGTTAACTCACCCTTTCTTGCCTTCTTCTGAACCTAAAGAGGTTATATTCACTGCATTCAGGTCTTCCCTTCCACTTTCCAGTTTGTTGGTGCTTGGTGGGTCTTCACTTTTCCTCTAATGTGAATTTCCTTTCACACTTGTAGACCCTATCCTTTCACGATACATCAAACTCAAGTCAATGCAGAGTTAGAAGGCTATTTCTCTTCAATATGCTCCGTACCGTACTTGGAAAACTGACAAAGTTCTCATCAATGTGAACAACTTTTCACTTTTCTCATCCTTGGGTTCCTGAGAAATTGTGGGATGGTGGAATGCAATAACTAGCACCATAAACGTGCTAATTAATATAAAGTTAGAAACCGTGTCCAAGGTGAATTAATGTCTCTTGGAATTTCCAATGGTAGTTTTCAAAAAATTTCGGTGCGGCTACCTTGTGCCATTCACTTAATTTCAATAAATAAAAAGTTAGAGAAAACGTGTTGGAGCTGCGTTCATGCCCGATCAATTTAATTATGTTATTATTGCAACATACTTGATAAAAGAACACTCTCATCAATCTACTATCGACCCAACTCAGGGCCAAGATCTCTTTGTATTTTAAAAGATTTGCATCCATTGCGATGAATCGGATCTTCTCTCTAATGAGTAATGACTACGTTTTCACAGACCCAATACTTGTGGGATGGGGAGCAAGAAACGAAATGACCTGAGAATTATATTTGAGGATAACGAGCCGCCTTTAGAGCGAAGCACTATTGGCTCTTGGAAAGAAAATCTCATATCTTCTATCAAATCGTCTAACGCTCGCTGCAATAGATCTTAATTTATCTAAAGAAATCGTTTAGATTTCTATCGAATTTGAACACAGATTAGGCAATTTGAGAACAAGGGTTTCGTTTGGTGGCACTGACCAATTTGGGGAGAAATTTTACTCCTTCACATATTCGCGAGAAACAAAAGGGCGATAAAGGTCGAGAACGGCGGGCCCGCTCAAATTTTTGCCAGGTCACTCACCATTTCC